ACAGTTCTTTGAAACTGCTCACCTTGCATCCCTGGGACACTCTTCAGTGACCCAGGAGAACCCGAGTTGTGATGGCACACTCATGTTCAAATTGGAGCAGAGAACGCCTCTGAGAGTCTGCTGTTTTTGCTACAGCTTTCAGAATAGTTTAAAATATATTTTTAAAAAAGTAACGTTGGAATCAAACATCTAAAGGACCCCTGAAACATCTCTACCAAATGTGGTGGCTCCATTGTGTCCTTTTCCCACATGAAGAGGAGACCCAGAGTCAGGGAGAGGGGTTCATGGGCCAAGTTCTCCCAGTGGGTGGTTGTCTGGCTCACAGCCCGGACTGAGCTCCATAATCCTCGGCTCCATCAGAGCATCACTGATATTCCTGGCCCAGATCCCCATCAGATGCCCCTCAGCCAGCCCTACTCCCACCCCCACCCACCTTCCCCCTGCTTCCCGCCCCCAACCCACCATCCCCCAACCCACCATCCCCCGGATGAGCTGATCAGCAAAGCAGGAATGTGAGCCTACAGCTGTCCTGGGATGCCCAGGGGCAGCCCAGCTCCCCCAACCCACCATCCCCCAACCCACCATGCAGCGGATGAGCTGATCAGCAAAGCAGGAATGTGAGCCTACAGCTGTCCTGGGATGCCCAGGGGCAGCCCAGCTCCACAGTTGTCTGCCAGGCAGGTGGGGCAGGAGTCCCCCCAGTCTCCCGGCCCCCACATGCCAGGCTGTTAGTGGGGGAGGGGTCAGGAATCAAAGCCCACTCCAGGCTCAATTAATTGCCTTCATTTGCACATGCAGCCTTTGGTTGGCGACAGTTCGCAGGTCAGCTGTCCCCACCGTGTAGGGACAGCTTAAAGACATGAGGTCAGCTCTTTCCCCTCTGTCCCCAGCTGCCAGTGTCTGGACCCCCCCTTGGGCCTTGATTGCACTCACAGCAATAACAGATTATGAGAGGGAGGCAGGGGACCCCTGATGAAGCTCAGTGCACGGGCAGGGTGTGCAAGGACTGTCTTGTGTGTGCGGTGTGAGTCGCATCATCTTGGATGTGTGGTTTACCCCGCCCCCTGCCCAGAGTCTCAGCTTCCTCATTGTAAAAGTGTGGAAAATGGCATGCTGCACAGGGTAGCTGAGAGGACTCTGTAAGAAGTGGGTGAAATCAGCATGTGAGAGCCTGGGCCCCACATTTCCCCAGGAAACAGCGGCTCCAATGATTACGTTTGCTTTGGTTTTGTTTTGCTTTTAGTGAGTCACTTAGATCTCAGTTATGAGAGGGCCGAGGGCCATCTCTGGGCTGTGGACGGGTCCTGATGTCCCTTGACAGCTCTCCTCCAGGCTGCTGGGGACGGGGTCAGACCCAGGCGCAGAAGAGCAGACTTGGTGAGCAAGCCACAGGCAGAACCATCCAGGGCTGACGGGGCTGGGGGAGGTGGGCACCTGCTGCCCCTTTCTGCCTGGATGCTTGGCGCTTTGTGACGCAGCCTCCAACCAGCTTCCAGAGTGACAGAAATGGATTGGAGCCCTTCATCGCCGTGGATCCCTGGCACCACTTCTGTAGCATCCCACGTTTCCTGAGTGGCGCTTTGCCAGGCTGGCATCTTGGCTGCTGGGCTGTGCCAAGATCCGCATACAAATCCTGTGGGCTTGGAGAGAGGCCTCCATGTAGTCATCAGGGCAAAGTGGTGCCAGGATCCTCAGCCCTCACTCCAGCACTAGCTCTCTCTCTCTCTCTCTCTCTCTCTCTCTCTCTCTCTCACACACACACACACACACACACCCTGAGAATTTATTTGTGATCTTCTGCATGGCTGTCAGTTTGTGCTCAATCTACTTCCATCCCGATCCATAGTTAGTGCCTATTATTTGCAGGGTCCTATAGATGTGATAGGAACAGAGGGAAGAGTGGGATGGAGACCCGTAGGATCTTTCTGTCCAGTCAGAATCTTTTAAAAAAAAAGGCCGATTGCCCCAGCACGAGACGGCACGGGAGGTCTTCAAGAGCTGGACAAAGCTGTGTGGGAGCACTCATAACGGGGACAGACGAGGCTTCCTGGAGGAGAGGACATTTGGGATGGACCCCAGAGGATGGGCAGGATTTGGACAGAGAGAGATGGGGGTGGAGAGGTGAGGTTGTTTCAGGCGGAGGGAACAGCCCAAGTGAGAATAGAGACAGGAAAGGAGGGGTGTGTTTGGGGCCCAGGGAATAGTCTCTGGTTGGCTGTGAAGGGGAGGGAGTAGAAGTCGAGGCTACAAAGCCAGGTCGGGGCCACATTATACAAGGTCTTGAGTGCCAAGGTAAGGAGTCCATGGTTAAATGGGAAGGCAACAGGGAGCCAAGGACAGTTTTAAGCAGGCGAGGGTTAGGCTCAGAGAAATCTCTCAGGAGTATGGGCTGGTCTGGGGCAGGATGGTGCGGAGAAGGTCCTGGCAGAGGAACGGCTCCCCGTGGGTGCATCAGCACTACACACCGAAATCCCCCTCTTGCTGGCCCCCGGCTGGCTCCTGCATGATTTGTGGGGTGCAAAGGGAGGGAGGGAGCAAAGATGGCCCTGAAATTAGCTGGGGTACATTAAACAGACCCACAGCCCCTGGAAGAGTCTTGGCAACAGGATTTCAGTGAGAGAGAGAGAGAGAGAGAGAGATGGCTACGGATGGGCTCGTGGTGCCTTGAGGGTGTGGGGACAGGCTTCCTCTCTGGGCTCTGCCGAGGAGGGGCTGTCCCCTGAGACAGCGCCCCGGGGGCGGGTCAGCAAGCTCAGACCTTGGCTCTGGGAGTCACTGACTAGCTTCGTGTCAAGCACAGGCCCGCGGCTCAGCCCACCCGTCCTTCTCTGCAAGCTTCGCTGGCCTCTTCCTGCACTTCTGGAGTGACCTGCCTCACCGACTCCCACTGCGGGAGGGGGGATTCCAAAGCTTCCCTCCCAGGAGGGCGCTCTGTGGGCTTCTCCGGGGCTATTGTCCCTGCGAGACAGAAGGGCTGGGCCGGGCGGGGGACAGCATCCCACACAGCCTCAAAGCCTTTCTCAGCCACACGGAGAGCTAAGTCTGGCCAACGCCAGCCTGGAGAGCAGCCCACATCTGCCTCAGGCCTGGAAACCGGGTTTGAGGGGTTCCTGGGAGCAGAACAATACTTGACTGACAGGCCTTTAGAATGGGCCCCTCCTCCCGCCCAGCTGCTCAGGAGCTCCGGAGCGCGGGCCTGGCTGCCTGAGCTGGGCCTCCAGAGCCCTCATTATAGAAAGGCTGGAAGTGAGGCCGAGGGGGCAGCATCCTCTTGTGGCCCGTGAGGCGGCCAGGAGGGCGGGCCAGGGCTGCACGGTGTATACTCTTAGGAATGCAAGGCTGTGTGAAGAGACTGGAGTTGTCACCCCAAGCCATCCCACGGTCCCACACAGCTCCTGAGGCTCTCCAAGGACGTGCATGCAGCTCCCGAGGTGGGAGGGGATATAGGGCAGCCTCTTTCTCTCAGTCCATGGTTCCAGGAAGAGCAGAACTAAGGGCAGTGGTGGGGACAGGACCCGGGCCTCCAGGGGACCAGCACACTCCTGGCTGGGATAAAGGGAGAGCAGGATAAAGGATGGTGGGGACCAGGCAAGGTGGGAGGAGCTAACCCCCCCCTCTGGCCCCTCACCCCCTCAGATTGGGTCAGCCCGGCTGGGCCCCAGCCTCCCTGTCCCACCTACCCTCCCCGCCCATGACCATTCCCGGGACCTCACTGGGAGTTGGCTAAAGATGAACCTGGTGGGGGTGCAGGGGGGCGGGCGGTGAGGTGGGAGAGAGTTGCAGGGACTGAGACGGCTGGAGGGAGAGATGCTGGGAATTATCACAGGCCCACCAACCTTTCCTCGGCCCTGGGCGATCCCATGGCTGCAAATCACAAGGAAATGGTTGTGTAAGCACCTCTGCCTGCCTAATGGATACGTAGGAGGCCCGGGGAGGCCATAAAAATTCAATCAGCCTGGCTAGCCTGGTGCCGAACTTGTCCGGACGCTGTGAGACTGGTACAGAGGTGAGGGCCGTGGGGGAGGGCCGCAGAGGAGGGCTGCAGGGGGAGGTCTCCAGACTTCAGCAGACACCCCACCCCACCCCATCCACAGGGCTTATGAGCCTTAGCTCCGAGGTCCTCCGGGACATCCCGCGGTCACTCCCTCCTCCCACAGGAGGAGGCCCCACTTCTGGTGGAGAATGGGAGCTGATCCTGAGGGTAGGTCAGGGTCAGTTCACCCCACCCAGCAGGCGGCAGAGCCAAGCTTCCAGAGTTCCTCAGCCCCAGCAGGGACAGAGCTGGGTCAGAACCTGCCGGGCCCTTGGAGGGAAAGAAAGGAGCAAGGACAGGACTGGGCTGTCTTGGGGCAGCCGTGAGCGAGGTTCAGAGCACAGACATGGCAATGCCAAGTACGCCAGTTAATTTCTGCTGCAGAAAATGCTGGGAGCCACCTCGGACGCTTGTCGAAAGGACAAAGTGATATAAATTCCCGCGAAGCACTAAAGCTGATTCCTGCCTAGGGCACGTGCTCGGAGAAGCTGTTCTGTTCCTTTGAATTTACGCTTTGAGTCAAGCCTCGGGGATGACAGGCCTATTTCTGAGCTTGGAAGGACTCAGCTCATTCTGGGGGACTTGGCAAAGGGCAGAGGTGCGTGTGGAGAAAGGGATTCTAGACTCATCTGGAAGCTGGATGTTGCTTAAACTAAACCAGGGCTTCCCAGCCTTGGCACTGTGGTCTCTCTGGGCCGGGAAGTCTCCATGGTGGGGTCATCCTGTGAGCTTTGGGGCGTCCAGCAGCATCCCCAACCCCAGCCCCTGGAATAGCAGCACCACCCGGCTGTGACAACTAAAAATGTCTCCAGGCATTGCCAAATGTCCCCTGGGGGCAAAGTTGTCCTTGATCCCCGTTGAGAGACACCCGGGCTCTAATAATGTGGGCCAGGGGACTTGGAAATGGGGAAGCAGAAGAGGAGGAGGGCTGCTAAGCTGTCCACTCATGGTGTTGCTTTTCTTCCAGACCAGAGCTCATGGCTGGGCCCAGCACCCACATTGTCCCTGTGCTGTTCCTCGCCCTCCTGGTGCTCCTGGAGCTGAGCCTGGCAGGCTCCCTGGGACCTGGAACCCTTGCTCGGAACCTTCCCGAGAATCACATCGACCTCCAGGACCCAGCACTGTGGATGCCTCCAGCCAGCCACCACCGCCGGCGGGGTCTGGGCAAGAAGGAGCGGGGCCCAGGCATGCCCGGCCGGGCCCAGGACGGAACTGTGGTCTCCACCACCAGGCAGGCCTCCAGGCTGCCAGGAGCAGGGGAGCTGCTGCCTGGGCAGAGTCCTGCAGGCCTGGTGCAGGACAAGGAGCTGCTCCTGGGGCTGGCGCTGCCCTACCCTGAGAAGGAGAACCGGTCTCCTGGGGCAGAGAGGGTCAAGAAACGCAGCAGGGAGCACAAGAGGCGCAGAGAGAGGTTGAAGCTGCACAGAGGTAGCGGAGGTCTGCGGGGGCTGGGGTCCTGCCCTGGAAGGGAGGGGTGGGGGGATGGGGGAAGGTCATACCCAAATGGCCAAGGGGGCTCTCCAAGCAGGAGGGGGAGGCTGTGAGTGAAGTGTCAATGATGTGAGGAGCCTGGGAAGATATCCAGAGGCCCCAAAGAGGGCAGGCAGTGAGCCCCCAGAGGAGGGGAGGGGTCTCTCAAAAGTCAAAGTGATCTGGGAAGGGGAGGGAGCTGGGAGAGGCCTGGTGGTGGAACAGGGGAAGAGAGGGATACATAGCTTTCGAAGCTCCGTCTTAACAATGAGCGATCCTCCTAAGTCAGGAAGTTCTACCTGTGTCTGACCTAAATCCACCCCACTATGAGCCCTGAACTGAGATGCACTAGTTCAGTGCCCTCTAAGCACATCACTTAATCAACTCTGAAGCCCAGAGCGGGGACCAAGCACTTAGAAACCTGACGCTGGGTCTGCCCAAGTTCGGGTTGTGACTCTGCAACTTACTGGCCATGTGCCCTGGGCAAGTCACCTCTCTGTGCCTCAGTTTCTCCCTCTGCAAAATGAGGATAATTTTGCATCCCATCTACCCTCAGGGTCGATTCATAGATGACTTAGATGCTCAGAATGGCACCTGGCAAGCATCAGGGGCAATGAGCAGTAGCTAATTCTCAACTTGCTCTCGACGTGGAATCACTGGCCTCCGACCCGGACACAGATGACCCAGGGAGAGACGAGGTGTCCTTATCCCTCCAGCCTCTGCCCTGTGTGTCTCTTGGGGTGCTCCCCTGCAGCCATGCTCACCTTCTTTTAAGTTTCCCCCACATCCCCAAATCCCTTTGAGGGCCCCACTGCCCCCTGGCCCCAGCTGCCCCCTCCCTTTGCCCACTGAGTCCTTGAACAAACATACCCCAGCAGCTCCATCCAGGTGGTTCCTCCTGTCTCACCAGGCCCCAAGGCCACCAGGCAACCTCAGCTTCCAAGTCTCTTCAAGTGACCAGACGGCCTCCTGGGCAGACCAAGTTCCACAAACGTGGGGCAAGTGTTCTGCTGGAGGAGAGTGATGGAGACTCGGCGCCCCCTTCACCTGCATCAGCTGGGGCTTGCTTCCCTGCCAGGCCTACTGAGACCCCCCCCACCAGGTGGACAGAACACGGTTGAGAGACCCCAGCTTAGACGTAGCCTCCCACCCCTTGAGGTCACGTTTCAGGTTGGGGAGGGGACCCTGGCATCCTCGGAGCATGAACTCATCCCTGGCTCAGCTCCAGGCCCCAGCTCCATCAGGCCAAGGGGGCCTTCCTAAGGGAGTCAGTGTGTTGGGTGCATGGAGGAGGGGACAGTGGAAGTCTAGAGGCCAGGCCCAGCCCTGCTAACCTGCTGTGGCGTTCCAGTTGACTGGGCCCCAGTTTCCCTGTCTATCAAAGGAATGGAGTGGATTCAGTGGTCCCTAAGTCCCCTGTCTACTCTCTGGGGTTTGCTTCTGGAGGGCGAGGTGGCCCCAAAGGACCCAACCAACCTTAAAGTCAGATCTTGCCTGAGAAAAAGAGGTAAGGATGAGCCTGGGCCCCCCAGCTTCTCTCAAATTCCCTTTGTTCTTGATCACCCCCAACCCTGCACACTCTCTCCCCCTCACACTCAACCTACCCCAATGCCCATGGGTCTTGGAAGGTGGCATCAGTGGTTAAAAAGCATTGGTTTTGTGCTCAGATGGACCTGGGTTTGAATCCAGGCTCTGCTGTCCTCTGGCTGTGTGTCCTGAGGCAAGTTGCCTAAACTCTCTGTGCTTTAGATTCCTCCCCTGTAGGTGAAACTGAAGAAGCACCCATCTCCTAAGAGTTCCTACAGTGGTTAGACGAAATAATGCTTGTAAGGCAGGACCCAGCATACACCAGGGGCCTGGCACACAGCAAGTGCTTAATAAACGGGGTGATGATTATCACCACCTAGGAAGCACTCGTTTATACATGATAAGCTGTGGCTCTTACCTTCTCAAAGTCTCTGCCCCCGCTGCAATGCCTCTTAGCCTCATCACGTGACTCCCCTCCTCAACCTTCACCTCCTCCAGGAAGCCTTCCGTGGTTAATCCCACTAGTTCCCATTTGTTACACTTGCACCCCTGGCTGCACCCACCAACCCGGACTTGAACTTGCTGGAATATTGCTTTAGAGAGAGAATCCTTGGGCTGTCTCCCCAACAACACCACAAATTCATTCAAGACATTCCCTCCCTCTTCTTTCCCTGCCACCCCAGTCCCTCATTTCCACCTCCCCAGGAAGGGGGACAGCAGGAATGTTGGCTGAGCCGATGGCTTGTCACATGGTCCCTGCCGCCGCCCTGCCTGCAGTTGGAAATGTGAGTTTCGATGTGGGCTGACACAGGGCGGTGAGCAGATAAAGCCCCTGTGTTTCCCCCTCCGTGTCTCAGGCCGAGCTGTGGTCCGAGGTCCTAGCTCCCTGATGAAGAAAGCAGAACCCTCCGAAGACCAGGCACTGGATGCCACGATGGAGGAGTCCTCCACCAGCCTGGCCCCCACCATACTCTACCTAACCACCTTTGAAGCAGCACCTGCCACAGAAGAGTCCTTGATCCTGCCCGTCACATCCCTGTGGCCCCAGGTAAGGGGCCCCAGAACAGCCCCAGAGTATATTCAGGGAGACTGAGGCCCGGCGATGGGAGGGAGTTGGTTGAAGCCACGGAACCAGGTCTCCTGATGCCCGTCCAGCTCAGCTATGGCCCAGCATTCGCTCTGTCCTGAAAGGGCTGTTGCTGTCCGGGAGAGCGTGGTCCTAGGGGCTCACTCCAGGGACGGACAAGGAAGCAAGCACCAGCTCATCATGCTGGCTCTGCATGGAAAAGAGCGGGGACCTCGGGGGAGAATTTGATACATACCCAAAAGTCCAGAGAATTTTTAAAACCGTGTCCCCCGGGCACCTGGGCGGCTCAGTCGGTGAAGCGTCTGCCTTCAGCTCAGGTCCTGATCCCAGGGTCCTGGGATCGAGCCCCGCGTTGGGCTCCCTGCTCAGCGGGAAGTCTGTTTCTCCCTCTCCCTCTGCCCCTCCCCCCGCTCCTGCTCACGCTCGCTCTGTCTCTCAAATGAATAAATAAAAAATCAACAAAAGGTGCATCCTTCTTGGACCCCTTTTGTGGCTTTGAATTTTTTTCCAAATAAAATTATTTAAGATGATCAGTAAAGTATATGTATAGAAGAAATAAAACTTTTTAAGCAGTAGATCGTTCTTACTCCCTTTGGGTCTCATTCCCCCTTGAGGTTCTTTTATTTTAAGATTTTATTTTTAAGTAATCCCTACACTCAATGTGGGGCTTAAACTCACAACCCCTAGATCAAGAGTCACATGCTCCACCAACTGAGCCAGGCAGGCACCCCCCCCCCCCCGCCTCCCCTTCAGAGTCTGATAAAAGCTAGGGGCCATCTCCAAGGAATACATGGCGATCCACACTGTCGAAGGCCCCCAGAAACCCATCGGTTGAGAACCCAGCCCTAGAAGATGGCTTTATTGCCCATGTCCTACCGTGTGCTGATCCAGCCCCAAGACTGCTGGCCAGGGCTGTGAGCCCAACTGAGCTGTGGTCTCATGGGCCACAGAGAGCTGATAACTTTTGCGGAGGAGAGAAGGGGCAGGGAAGTGAGTGGCTTGGCTTCATCCAGCTCCCCTCAACAACACAGGTGTAGAAACCTTGAGCAGGTGCAACTGCTTTCCCAGCCCCTCCCCCAGGGGCCCAAGGGATAACTCACCCGTCTGCATCCATACCATCCTGCAGGATGGTGGCTCCTGGAGCTTGAGCCTTAGGCAGCTGTTCCCTGTCCCTGGGGCTGGGATTTCAGGCTGCCCAGCAGGGGACAAGCTGGCCTCTGAGGAGTCCCTTCTTTGCCATTTGGCCCCGGGGTCCCACATTTCCGCTCCCACCTGTTGGGAGCTCCAGCTTCACTCTTCTCCGTGCCCCTTCTGCAGGCTCAGCCCAGGCCTGATGGGGAGGTGATGCCCACACTGGACATGGCTTTGTTCGACTGGACCGATTATGAAGACTTAAAACCCGAAGTCTGGCCCTCTGCTAAAAAGAAAGGTATGTCCACCTCCCCGGCCACCCCATGCCTGGGCTCCCTCCCCCGCCCACTGTCTATTGGGGTGAGGGCCCCAGTGAGCCCAGCCTGACCTACAGATGTCCAGAGTGGAAGGGCATGCAGTCTAAACTGGGACTAACACCCAAAACGCAAATGCTGTTATCAAGTGCTGATCGCAGGCCAAATGTTTTCCTCTACCAACTCATTTTCCCCTGAAAAACCAGCTGTTGGGTCTACCCTGCTATTGATCCCATTTTAGAGAGGAGAAGACTAAGGCAGAGAGAGAGGTAGAGTCTTATCCACACAACACAGCGCAAGTGGCAGTATGAGCCCCTGTGCTCAGTCTCTCTGCTCTGCTGGGCGTCAGCTTCTGACGACACATCTTCTTGTCCCCAGAGAAACACCGGGGTAAACTCTCCAGCGATGGTAACGAGACATCACCAGCTGAAGGGGAGCCGTGCGACCATCACCAAGACTGCCTGCCAGGTACCCAAGCAGCACCCACGTTCAGAGCAGGAGGCTGGGTGCCAGGGGAGCCCGTGCAGGGCTGGGGCCGTTCCCAGGCCCACGAGCAGGGCCTGTGGGTCCCTGACCCTTTAGGGAGGACAAATGATAACAATCAGGGCTACCGCTCTACTGAGAGTTGCTGTCGTCCTGTATTAAATCCTCATAGCAACCCCGAGAAAGGGCCTCTCTCATCCCCAGTGTTCAGGCAAGGAAACCGAACCTCAGAGAGACTGAGTGTCTCGGCTGAGGTCACACAGCGAGGAGGTAGCTCAAACCTGGGTCTGTGTGGTTCTTCACCCCTGCCCCATGCTGTCTCAAGTCAGGATGAGCCCTCTCTCGACTTCTTCCTCCTAACACCTGCTCGGGCTTAATTCTGTCCTTGTCCCCTTATGACACTGCCGGGCTTTGTGGGGGTGGGGGGTGAGGGGGATGCCGTCATGACACCCTCCCTGTATAGCAGCTGAGCCCATCATACAGTCTACAAACAAGGGGCTTGACATTGGGACTGCTGGCCCTTGGCCCTTGTCGGGTCGGTTCGGGCCCCGGGAAGCGGATACCGAGGTGGGGTTCCAAGTGCAGGAGGTTTATTCTGGGGGAAGAGGGAAGGCCTGTGAATGGCAAAAGGGGGGAGGAAGCAGGAATGGACCCAGAAACCTGTGATGCAGTCTCAGCCTGATGGGGAGCTCCAGAGCAAGACTGCCTGCTGACGGAGGCCCCATTGGGCAGGACCGGCCAGGCCCTGGTCCCCCTGCTGGGGGGTGGGGCTGCTGGGGAACCAGCGTGACATCTGGCCGGTGGTTCCTGAAGGTGCAAACACTGGAGGCCACCAGCTCACTGCTGTCCTCACCTCCGGACAGCACGGGGGTGAGGCGGGGAGACCCAAGCGGCCCACTTCCACAGTGCCATGCTTGTTAATTCAGCGGCCAGAATATTCCACAAAATAGCAACCAAAGCAGCAATGCGGCGCTGTCTAAGGCAGACCACCAGCTCCGGGACAGGCTGTTGCGTCTCCAAACCATTGTTTTCACCCTGAGCAGAAAGAAAAGGCTTGAGTTTGGGCCAACTGGGCAGTGGCCCTAGGAGCTGACTGGGTCTGTGGGGGGCGAACCGCTGCCTCAGGCCTCCCTGGGGCCTCCCTGGGGCCCTCCCGCTGCTCCAGTTTCCCCATCTGTCAAAGACGTTGTTGGCAATGATCCTGGAGGCCCCTCTCAGCTCCAAGCTGATTTCACCCCACCCCCAGCTGCTCCGCCCCCTCTCCCTGGGAGGCCATCCCACACTGCCTTCGCTCCGCCCATGATCTATCAATTGCCCATCTGGGGCAGCTGGGGTCTCCGCCACCGGCCCCCCGGGGGCCCTGGCCATGCTATCCGTCGGTGGTCCCGGTAGGGAGCCTTGTGCATCAGATGGCGCACCCTGCCAGGGCAGGGCCCTGCCATGGAGATGATGGATCTCCCGCCCAGCGGGGCCGTGTGCACGTCGGCCGGGGGGGGGGGGGGGGGTCCAGGCCGCTCGGCTGACGGTGGCCTTGCTGTGTGGGCAGGCACCTGCTGTGACCTGCGAGAGCATCTCTGCACGCCCCACAACCGCGGCTTCAACAACAAATGCTTTGATGACTGCATGTGTGTGGAAGGTGAGCCCCACTCTCTCGGGGAGGGGGGTGCCCCTGTGCTCCCAGGGCCACTAAACCCCTTCTTCTCCAAGCTGGTTCTGCGCGAAATGGGGGCCAAGGCTTCCCTGCGGAGGGTGGAGGGAGGGCCCAGGGGCCTGTGGCGGAGGAGAGGGCAGCGGGATCCCTCGCGAGCTGAAGACCTGAGCAAGAACAGCTTTGCTCCGTGCCTTCCCAGTCTGTGAACTCATGCAGTCTCGATTCCTGGCATCGTTTCTCAGATTTGCTTTTCTCACCTCTTGAAATACAAGCTGGCATGATCTCCTAGGATCTGGAGGTGGGAGAAGGGAGGAGAGGAGCACATCTCTTTATATAAGATCAAATCTGAGAAGGCTGGTACACCAGAATTCTACCCCAGGGGAGGCATTCCAAGTGTGAGAATGAGGGGATGGGGGGGTGGATTTCCCAGCCCTGTTCCAGGGGGGATGCACTTGGCCAGCTATGTCCTTAGCTCTTCTGAGCTCCCAGCTGCAGCGGGCGTGCCCTCCTGCCCAGGTGTGCCCCGGCGGGCGTGCCAGGCTCTGTGCCGAGCACTTCACTCCTGTTATGATCATCCTCACAACCATCCCACGAAAGGAGCTCTTACCATCACCATTTCACACCTGAGCGAACTGAGGCACAGAGAAGTTAAGTGACTTGCCCATAGTCACACAGCTAGAAAAGTGGGGGAATATTTTTAATTTTATATTCTGAAAAACTTCAAATACTCGTGTTTGCAATAATGAACCCCCATGTCCCATCACTCAGCTTCAATACTTACCAGCTCACTGCCAGTCTCTGCTGTCTCTCCCCCACTCAGTTCCCCATTCCAGTATGATTTTGAAGCAACTCTGGGGAGTTTACAGATCGTTGATCTGTGAATATTTCAGTATATAGCTCTCTTTTTTAAAAAAAAGATTTTATTTATTTGACAGAGAGAGACAGCAACAGAGGGAACACAAGCAGGGGGAGCGGGAGAGGGAGAAGCAGGCTTCCCGCTGAGCAGGGAGCCCGATGCGGGGCTCGATCCCAGGACCCTGGGATCACGACCTGAGCCGAAGGCAGACGCTTAACGACTGAGCCACCCAGGCGCCCCTCAGTATATATCTCTAAAAGATAAGTACTCTTCGAAAAATAAAATACCGGGGCACCTGGGTGGCTCAGTCGGTTGAGCATCCGACTCTTGGTTTCGGCTCAGGTCATGATCTCAGGGTTGTGGGATCGAGCCCCGTGTCGGACTCTGTACTGAGTGTGGAGTCTGCTTGGGATTCTCTCTCTCCCTCTCTCTCTGCCCCTCACCCCTTGCTTGCGCGCACACACACACTCTCTCTAAGGAAAACAAAAAAACAAACAAACATGAACAATAATTACTCAATATCATTCGGTAGCTAATTGGTTGTTCACATGCCCTGAGTTGGAGAATTTGGTCTTGGTCCTTCTATTAACCATCCTTAGATACGAGCCCTATTTTTGCTCATATGAGCCTCAAAAATTATCTGCTGTGCAAGCAATAAAGCTACTTGGGTCTAGTCAATCAAGAAATATTTATTGAGTGCTCACGACGTGTCCAGTACCATTCTGGAGACTTGAGATTAGATTCAGCCGCGAAGAGAACAGGCAAACTGCCCCTCTGGATTCCATTCTAGTGAGATGTGCAGATAGTAAGCAAATCCAGAGATGAGATGTCTTTAGAAAGAAATAAGGGCTGTAACAAAAATCAGGGTGGTGTGATGAGGAGTCAGAGTTGTTTTCGAAAGGACAGACAGGAGGGGACAGCAGAACCGGCCAGCTGAGGATGGGGGTGCGGGGAGGGAGAGCCCCAGGCATGAAGCAGGGCAGAAGCCAGGACCTCGGGCAGGAAGAGGGCTGGCGTGTTTGAGTGGGCCTGCACACGGTGGCCAACAGAGAAGGTGGTCCCAGGGCCAGGTGGGAGAAGCTGGTGGGGAGGATCACACAGGATCTTTTGATTTATAATTGGAAGTCACAGGCAGGTTTTAAGCTGGAGAATGACATGGTCTGGCTGCAGGACTCTGGGGGGCAGGAGTGGAGACAGAGAGGTGAGGGGATGGAGGCAGGCAGGGGTGGGAGGGGCAGGAGATGCTGGGAAACTTATCTTCTGTTACCTGCGTGCAGGGTTGGGGACCCATTTCGCAGAGCAGGAGACTGAGGTGTGGAGCGGGCCAGAGGGCACTCTAGTCCACAGAGTCCAGAACAGTGCTGAGGCCCAATCATAGTCCTTGGCCTCCAGGTCCAACCCAGGCGCCCAGGCGAGGGGGATGTGGCCCTACTGAGTCCAGGAATCCTTCCTTCTTTCCTCCCCTGGACCTGGGAGGGGGCAGCTTTGCAGGCATCCAAAAGATGTATCTGCATCCAAAGCCCTATCTGCTCATTTCCTCTGATCCGTCTGGCACTGGTCAGTCCTGGAGGAAACTCTTGCTTCCTCCCTGGAGACTCAGGCTTCAGAAAAAAAAGAAGAATGGAAATGACAGCTTGGGCAGCTCATTAAAGCTGGTCCAGGAGGAGTTTGTCACTAAGAGGACACACCAGAGGGATCTAGGTGAGGCCGGGAACCCTCATGAGGACCAAGAGTCCTGAGGACTTCTGAGGGCCCAGGGCTGATGTCCAGCAGTCAAGGCCAGCCTGAGTTGTGGAGGGTTCCAGAAGGGCTTCTGTGGAAACCAAGCACTCCTGCTCATGAATCCCCTGCCCCTTTCCACGTGTCACTTGTGTGACCTCATGTCTAGATGCCCAGTGACCCAGGTGTAAATTCTAGGCCCCTAAGCACAAACTTCACAGCAGTTCCTTTATTCTCTTGGTAGTGACCTAAGTGAATCTTCAAGTAGCAATGTCCTCTCTCCCCGGGGTCAACTCCTAACCTGAAGTGTAGGGATTGCTCAGGCCACACTCACATCCCTTGCCCCCACCACCAAGAGGAGGTGGCCTTCTGAGGCCTTAAATAAAAATTATGTCTACCCATGTATCTCAGGGGATGCCTGTGGTCATGACAGAGAGAGCTTCAGCTCTGAAGCCCTCCCACTGGTGGGCCAAAAGGGCCACACTGACTTTAGTTTGAGCGGTCAGGGAGGGTCTCTGAGACCTGAAGGCCACAAAGAAGCCAGCGATGCAAAGAGCTTGTGGAAGGAAGTTTGGCTGTGAGAACCGCAAGTGCAAAGGCCCTGAGGCAGAACATGGCTGGGGCCACAAAGGAGCCAATGATGCAAAGAGCTTGGGGAAGGGGGTTTGGCTGCAAGAACAGCAAGTGCAAAGGCCCTGAGGCAGAACATGGCTGGCTATTGAGGAAAAGCAAGAAGACTGAGTGTGGCTGGAGCTCATGAAGAGGGGAGTGGGAAGTGAAGAGGGCAGAGAGGAGGCAGGCCCAGGTCCCAGGGGGTCTTGTAAGCCAGAGTAGGAAGTTTGGATTTCCTTTTGAGTGCAAGGGGGGGGCCATGGGAGGTTTTATAGGGGAGAGCAGAACCTACATTCCTTTACAAATTTTTTTAATAGACCTTTTTTTTTTTTTTTAGCAGTTTTGGGTTTACAGAAAAGTGGCACAGAAAACACGGTTTTCATATACCCTCTCCCCCTGCACAGTCCCCCTGTTATTACTTGCATTAGTGTGGTTCGGCGTTTAGAGTGGAGGAACCAACGTTGATAAAGTCCATAATCTGCATTCGCATTCACTCTCCGCATTGTACATTCCATGGGCTTTGATAAATGCATCGTAATAGGTACCCACCATTACAGTATCACACAGAATAGTTTGGGGGGCCTTAAATAGCCCCCGTGCTCCATCTGTCCATCCTTCCCTTCGCCCCCAATGATCGCCTTTTTAAAGCCCATTCAGGCTGTCCTGGGAGAGTGGGTGGGTTGTAGGGCAGCATAGGGTGGTGGTGAGAGGGTGCAGGGAGTCCCAGAGGGCGCAAGGAAGGAAGGGGAGGGCCCTGGCCGTGGGCGCCCCTGACCCCCTGGCCTCTCTTCCCTCAGGGCTGCGCTGCTACGCCAAATTCCACCGGAACCGCAGGGTCACGCGGAGGAAGGGGCGCTGCGTGGAGCCGGAGACGGCCAACGGCGACCAGGGATCCTTCATCAACGTCTAGCGGCTCTGCGGGAGGCGCCTCCCCACCGGCCTGGGGACTGGCGCCCGCGCCGACGTTTGGAGAAGCCGGGCGATTTGTTTAGAACTAGCAGTGGGAGTTCAGATGGGGGACCCGATGACCGAGGCTGCCGGCTCGAGCCCGGGACCCTCAGCCCTGGGAGGGGAGCCCTGGCCCGGGAGCCAAGCTGCAGCACACCTGCGCCCACCTCCCCGCCCCCGGAGGACCCGCAAGGCCTGCGCCTCCCGGTGGCCTGGTGCTCCGCGTTGGCAATGTCGAGAGTGCCCTCTACTGCCCAACCTCAGCACTGCAGCCGCTTCAAGTCCAACAACGAAGAGGTTCTGAGCGCGTCAAGAAAGGGAACGGACCAGAGAGACAGAGCACCCCGGGAGATGAGTGCGGAACACCTGTACGTACCAGGCACTGCGCTAAATGCGTGCCATACGCTATCTCATTTACTTACCACAATGACCGTTCAAAGGAGGCATTATCACCGTTTTACCGGTGAGGAAACCGAGGCAGTTAGTTATAACCGGACTTGTCCAGGGTCCCACATCAGTGCTCCTCAAACCTTAACCTGTGTAAGAATCCCTGGGATCTGGGTAGCATGCAGAGTCTGGTTGGGTCGATTCTGCATTTTCAACAAGCTCTCGGGGGCATGCTGCTGCTGCTGGCGGGAACCCCTCCGAGAGCACCCAGGTCCTAGGGAGTAAATGCCTGAGCCGGGATCTGCACCTGGGCCAAGCCTGTCGGGTTCCTGGGCCCGCATCCTTGCTTCTCCACAACCACGGACTTATTCCAAGTTCTCCATGGCTTTCAGTGAGAGAGAAGCCCTCCCTGGGAGTTCCTTTCACGGTGGTGAGGTCTGCAGTAACAGGCTGTTCTCTTCCTTCCCTGAACAAAGGTGTAGCATCTTTAAAAACAAAGCATTGCATTAAGCCCCTGCTTGGTGGTAAGGCATGATTTGGGAAGATTGGCCGCTGCCCTCTGGGAGCTGGTAATCCGAGATATGATGTGTTTGGGGGAAACGATAGTGCTGTTCCTTCTGTTTCTGTGGCTCTGCTCACCCAGTCCCAGGACATGCACTTTGACGTTGCTCTTATAGCTTCTTTAGTTTCATAGTAGTTCATGCCCTTTGAGAATCGAATGCCGATATGGGCTCAAAATAATGCACGCATCACGCATGTGCACCCACTTTGCATACAGCCTTAGTGGCTTTCAGGCCTCCCACAGACCATCTCTAGACACCCCCGACCCCACCTTTCTGCAGCAGAGCCTGCTGAGACATTGGGGCACCTCTGAGGTCAAGGTGTTCTCTGAAACCACCCCCCACAAGCTAGACCCACGATACCCACCCAGAACATCTACCCCAGCAGATCTGGCTCTAGGCGCCACCCCAAGAGAGCCACTTAAACCCCCCACCCCCACACCTGGCACCTCACTCCTGGTCAGCCCTCTGGTCCAGGGCAAACCAGGCTGCAAATGACAAAAGCCCTCCCCATCCAAATTCCTCGCAGGCCTGGACACCTGCCAGAGGAACCACACCCTCGACGCCAGGGCTGTTTACTCCATGGGAAAATCAGTCAGGGTCAGGGGTCTGGCACCAGGCAAAGCAGACGGATCGAGGAGAAACCAAATATCCTTGCTCATGTCTCCCTATTCAAGTTCTATGGGCAAAGGAATCTTAGAGGTCGGGGTGGGGCAGAGGAACTAAAAGAGATCAAAGCCGGCTATTTGGAAATCAAACCCACCAACAGTTTTGTCTAAGGCTACACCAGACAACACGCATGCTGTGTGAGCTTCATTGGGGGTGGCTGATTTGAGAATGTGATAGAACCCTAAGGGGGGGTGGGCTGCAGGCAGGAAACACAGCATTGCTTATGTCTGGCATCGCATATGTCTGGGGGCTAACAGTTCAGGTGGCCCTGGGGCATCAACAATGGAAAGCACAGAAGGTCAGGACAAAGCTGAAAGGCCCCATGGAACCATCCCCATCTAGCAGGGGAGTTCTGCGATTGGACCTTCGGGCCCTAGCTCTTTGCCCTAGTTACCTTCATTTCGTGGTTGCAAAGGTGGGTGGGTAAAAACCTCCTAACCCCAGAGTTAGAGATCCCAGAGCCCCCCTCAGTGTTTAACAAACCTCTCCGCCCGGAAGTTCTTCCTTAGGTCTATCTCAGATTTCTTTGGCTAGTACAGAAGTCATTTCCCCCTAATCCAGGATTCAGCCAACTTCTACCATAAAGGGCAGGTAAATATTTTAGGCTGTGTTCCCATAAAACTACTCATGGAAGCTGAGATGTGAATTTCATATCATGTTCACATGTTACAAACTACTATCTGTCGTTTGGTTTTCTAAAACCCGTTTATAAATGTAAAAACCTTTCTTAACTTGCAGATTACCCCAAAACGGGCGGCAGGTTGGATTTGGCCCACAGGCTATCATTTGGCAGATTCGTGCTCCAGTCCACTGGTCTCAAACTTGGCTGCCCGTTAGAATAATTTAGGGAACTTTCAAAGGTACTGATGATGCCCAGGCCCACCTGCAGAGGTGCTGGTTTCATTGGTCTGGGTTGTGTCTGGGCTTCGTGTGTGTTCAAGGCTCCCCCAGGCAACCCTAAGGTACAGCTGGGCATGAACTCTGCCCTCGTCCTCCCGACTATGGGAATGCTGCTGGTGACAAACGGCCTGCTCCACCTCTCACCACCATGGTGACCTTAGGAAAGTTCCTTGTGCCTTGATTTCTTCATCTGTAAAATGGGAATAATGACTCTCCCGTCATAGCAATGTTGTGAGAAGTAAACGTAAAATCCTTATAGTGTGTTTAGAACAGTGCCAAGCACATAATAAGCTCCCAGTGTTGGCTCATTTGTTTTCTAGGGTAATTTTGGTAGGTGGTCTGTTCTTTGACAATGATCTGTCAAAATCACCACTCAGGCTCCTTCCCCTGCAACACTGGGGCCAGGAGATGCTCCTGTAGGAAAGAGAGGGTGGAGTTCTGGGGTCAAAGAAGTTTGGAAAACTGTTCCGGACTCAGCCCGAGGCAGCCGGTACAGATCCCGGGTGCAGAGGCAGAGTGGGAAGAGGTGTAAGTGGTATTGGTCTGCGGTGGGGTTCATGAGTTTCAAAAAAATACAACCAGAGGGCGAGCTGAGCAGAAGGCCAAGTGGAAACCAGTAGGTGGTGGTACCACGGGTGGCCCGTGCCCTCCTGCATTCCTTCTGCGGAGTCTTACACCATTCCCCAGAGGTGCGCACGGTTCCCACGGGACTCCTTGCTGGGATTCATCGGGCCATGTGAAGCGTGGCCCCCAAGCCTGCTGGGAATGGGCTGAGGGGCACAGGGTATGAGGGACGAGCCTCATGGGAAAGTGACAGCTTCGCTTGCCCCTTGAGGGGTGACTGAACCACAAGTCAAATCCCAAAGCCACGACCCCTTCCACCGCAGAGATGGATCCTCACTTAAAGCCATACTCAACACACCGAATAAAATCTAGTGCTGAGAGGGTGGGCACAGCCTTGTATGGGATTCACTTTGCAGCAGGAGAGTCAGCGAACTGACATGTAACCTGCAAGGAACATGTTTATAAGACAACAGAAGAGCAAGGAAAGTGGGTGCCGGGAGGGACACTGAGAGGAGCCAGAAAAGCAAACCATTTAGGATTTCATGGGGCTGGCGCCATCACCCTCCATGATCACCTTTCCTCTTCTGGGAGACCGGAGTGCGTGTGTGTGTGTGTGTGTGTGTGTGTCAGGGAGGGGGGCGGCAGGAATTGGTTTGCAGAACCAAGGACCTTCATTGCAGGGAGTGTGTTTTCTGAATTCTAAGTCAGGACGGGTAGTTTGATACAGGATCCTCAGCCTCTTTTGGGTGCAAGAGGCTTCCTAGTCCCTCTTTATGCAGTGTGGTCCTGGACCAGCAGCAGGGAGGGCATCACCTGGGAGCTCGGCAGAAGCACGGGGTCCCGGGCCCCATCCCCAACCTGCTGAACCAGAATCTTGGGCAGTGGGCCTCAGCCATCTGGGTTTTACCAAGTCCCCAGGCCATTCTTGGGCACGATCAAGTTTGAGACACCCAGGTCTATGATCCATAAGGGGAAACAGAAAAGTTGGATGGTCAGGGACTTTTGGATGATTCAGGGCATCTGCCTTCAGGTGTGAGTTGGCAAATCGGAGATCCGGTTTGCCTGGTTAATAACCAGCAGTGACAAACTCCCAGGCTCTGAGCCCCTGCCTCCTGGGCTGGGAGTGGTCTATTTTCAGAGGAAATCAAGTGGAGCACCTGGGGTGCCCCCCCCCCACTGCAGTTGCAGTCACTGGGTTTTCTGACTCTTGGGAACTTCCCTGTGGTGCTGTGGTTCCTCTTTAAAGTGTGGGGGCAGCAGGGGGAGGGGGGGTGCTATGCCCTTGTAGTCCTGTGATGGCGTGTTGCATGCGCTCTCTTGAGCTGTAAATAAAGAGCCGATGGTTAATTAGCTGCCTTCTCATCTCTCTCTGCCTCTCCTGGAGATGATCTGTGTGTGCAGGCAGGGAGCACGCTTGGGGCGTTTGGAGGGGACCCTAAGCCGAGTATTTCCTCTGCCACATCTTTGAGCATTTGCTCTGAGCTCAGCAGTAAATGAGACAGTCTCTGTCCTCACCTGGACCTCATCGTGCTCCTTTAACCAGACCTCTTGGTGGGAATGTCATATCTTGACCTCCCTCTCCATTTTAGGGTTGGGGCAGCTGAGGTCCCAAAGAGATGACAAGGCTAGTCACAGCAGGCTGGCCTCATTTGGGGCCTGGGTGGCCACGTGCAGGGAAAAGCAGACGCCACTTTCAGCAGGATGGGGATAAACAAAGCACCGCCTCCTGACGCCGGGCCTGGGCAGGCTCAGATGCCATCTTGGGAAAGAGCACGAACTGGCCAGGGGGGGACCTGGCTCAGCACCAAGAAGGCCATCTCTTATCTTGGGGGCAGCTCCAGCCAGTGCCACCTGCCTCCGCTGACCAGGCCCTGCCAGGCCTGGCTGATTGTAATACAGAGCAAGGCTGTGTTATGGCTCTCAGTGGCTCCACGTCCCAAAGCCAAGCCGGGGTCCAGACTGTCCTGGGGAGAGGCCCTTAAGGGCCTGCTGTCCCTGTGGGAATCTCCCTGCCCAGACACCACGGAGGGACCGGCCTCTGCAGCCTGGACGCATGGGAATCCAGAGTGTCCCAAAACATGGGCCAGGGATTCCCAGCATCAGGATCCTCTGGGAGAGAAAACCCAAGTTTCTGAGCCCCACCTGGGCCTGGGCCTCGGAATCTCTAGGGATGGGGCTTGGCAAGCTGCATGTTTGACGAGCCCCCTGCCCTAGGTCTGAGAACTGCATCATCAAATCTTCCTGAGAACTCACTTTCCTCCCCACTCAGGCCCCAGGTGGCTGGTGAGCCTCTCGCTGGGGATGGTTCTAGGGAATCGAGCCCAGAAGCTCCCCTTTCACAGAAGCCTCAAAAGTCCTTCCCTCGCTGGCCCAGCTGCTCAGCTCTGCCATCGTAGTGCAAGCCAGTCATAGACAACACTGAAAACGGACATGCACAAATGAATGAGCATGGCTGTGTTCCAGTAAAACTTTATTCACACAGAAGGGCAGCAGGCTGGGTCTGCCCATGATCTGTAGTTGCCACCCCCTAAACTATACTGCTGACTCCTGGGTCCAGGTTTTGCAGAAAGGTATGCTAGGCTTTTAAAAACCCCTTCTGTCCTGGGACGTCAACTCAAATCCATCTCTACTCATGAGGGCCGGAGCAGTGCCGAAGCGAGGAGTCAAAGCCAGTTGAACCCAAGGCCACAGGGATTTCAGCTCTCTGCTGGCAGCCTGGGCGCTGCCCTCAGGGGATCAGGTAGCTGGCTTGGGGGTGTATCAGCCAGGGTTCTCCAGAGAAACAGAACCAGTGGGATTTGTATTTATATATCTTTAAATGTCTGTGTATTTGTGTATATCTTCTCTCTATATTTATACAGATTTATTTTAAGGAACTGGCTCACACTGTGGCAGGGGCCAGCAAGTCTGAAATCTGTAGGGCAGGCCAGCCGGCCAGAAACTCTGGCAGGAATTGATACTATAGCCTCGAGACCACATCTCTTCTCTGAGACCTCAGTTTTTGCTCTTAAGGCCTTCAACTGACTGGACGAGGCCCACCCACATGATGGCGGCTACTCTCCTTTACTTGGAAGTCAATTGTTTGTAGATGTTGACCAAATCCACAAAATGCTTTCACAGCAGCACCTAGATTAGTGTGCAGTTAAAGCCTCCCATACTGCAGCTGGCCCTGTTGTGACAGAAAACTGGTCATCACAGAGGGGCGTCTGGAGCTCAGCTCCCCAGCTCTGGATCACAGCACGTGGGCACACGGCGGTTGTCTTTGGTGTGTCGTGACATTCTGGGCTTCCTCACTCCTTTGTCAGCCTGAATGTCAGGTGGCAGCAGTGACCGCCGTCTGTCATGTAAGTGGGCACGCATGTCTTAGTGTCAGGACTATTCTGGTGGGCGTGGCATGGGGGCAGGTGTATGACAGACACTTGGGTAAGCAAGTGGCTAAACAGAGGCGCTCCTGTCCCTTCATCCCACCCCTCCGTGATGGCGTATCCTGAAACCCACATATTTGTGCCTGGGGGACCACACTGGTGATTGGTCCGTCCAGCAGGTCAGGCTGCTCAGCTCTGGGCAGTGTGGTCCTGAGCGGTCTCTCCATGCCCCAGCCTTGACCTTGTGTCAGTGCCTGGCACAAAGCAGAATGCGTGCTGAGAGAGGGAATACATTCAGCCAAACAAAACTGTGAGCTCATTTATTGAGCTGCATCCACGGCCAGAGGCACCCTCCTCTTGTGTAGTTAGAAACTCGTAGAGCCCCCTTTTCAGAGCAGGAAAACGAAGCACCGAGAAATAAAGGCCACTCGTCCAAAGTAGTGCAGCTACTCGGTAGCAGCGTCAGGGACCCCAGTCAAGTCTCTCTGACTCCAAAACCTGAACATGTCCACCGATGTCACGTTGCTTCTCAAATGCCACATGTTTGCTGAGCACCTACTAGGAGTCGGTCACCGGTCCTCCCTATCCCCCACTGCCCCACCCACACCCCAGGTCACAGGAGCTGCATGGTGCATTTGGGGTCACCAAGGCTGCTGCAGGGCCAGCGGGGGACAGGAGTTCTGCTGGGCAGGCCCCAGCCCTGGGCTGCCAGAACTGAAGATCTTGCACTCACCAGGCCACCTTCTAGAAAGCCCCTCAGGTTGAGATCCCTCTCAAGGGCTTCCCAGCAGGTGGAACCTGTGGAGGTAACCGGCCTGATCCCGGCACCCACTTCCCCATTCTTCTCTTATGTCTCCCCCCACCATGGGCGCAGGCTCCCTTACTGTCCCCCAGCGAGGAACGTGAGCCCTCACGGACCTGCCGCAGACCTGGACCTGAAAGCCGTCGGCACTGAGCTGGCCCAGCAGAAGGGTGTGAAAGTAAACACCAGAATAAAGCCCCGCAGCAGATAGGCACCTTGGGGGCCTCGGGGCCCGGGGGCCATAACTGGCCTTGTTTGTGTATCTGAGTGATCACTAAGGCGCTGTCAGAGCCCTCCGATGCCTCCCTTGAAATTCCAGCCCCAAGCATGCGGAGAGATGGGAGGCTGGACAGGGAAAGAGGTGGTAGCCTGAACTCAGGACAGACCGACAGAGCCGGGACAGGCGGTGGGAGGCAGGAGGCACAGAGTTAATGAGAGCCTGGGCACGCGCACACGCACGCACGCACACACACAATGACATGAAGAGGGTTGCTGGAGTATGGCCCAGGGGGATGAAAGCCACAGGGCAGAGCGTACTGGCAACAGCCTCTTCTGTCTGCCTTCCCTCTGGCTGGTGTCAAACACAACATCTGTTTTCAAGAACAGGACACAACTTCGTTTTCTGCTTCTTCCACGCTCACCAAGAGCCCCATGGGCATTCTGATGTGTTCTCTGATGCCTGACATGAGCTGCGGGCCTCTGCAGGGACAAGATAATGTCACTAAGTGTCCGGTGAGGCCAGGACGGGGCTCACCCCGCAGACATGTTCATAGGACCCCGATGAGGTGGCAAAGCCACAGGGACGTTGGGAATTACGGGTTACATTTTTTTTTTTAAGATTTTATTTATTTATTTGACAGAGATTGCGAGAGCAGGAACACAAGCAGGGGGAGTGAGAGAGGGAGAAGCAGGCTCCCTGCCAAGCAGGGAGCCCGATGCGGGGCTCGATCCCAGGGCTCTGGGATCATGACCTGAGCTGAAGGCAGACGCCTAACGACTGAGCCACCCAGGCGCCCTACGGGCTACATTTTAAAGCTCAAGGGGGAGTGTTCAAGGATCTTGAGTGGGGCCCACAAAAGTCGGCCGTGGATGCTGCTGTAAGTTCGAATTCTGTGCCACTGGGACACATATTTCGGAATCAGCCCCCCTGTGTTTTGACTAACCACAAAAACAAATGTGTCCTCTAGAGAGGACGTCCCGGCAATGTCCAGGCACCTCCAGAAAACCCAGGAAAAGAGAAGTAGCAGAATCGTCCACCTTGACTCCCTCTGGGCCCGGCTTGCCCCAGGATCGTGTCCCCTTCCTGGCTCTGAGTGAATGCTGCTATGGACACGGTGATTTTCCTGACGAGTTATATGGCGTTCAATACTTTCAGTATCTTGGCATCCACCAGGGACTGGGCTGAAGGACAGGGAATGAAGCCTGGGAGCCCAAGAGAGTCACCCCAACCCCAGTCCTACAGGGTTCCATTCGGTCCCATCAGCTCCTGCCCCCGTGCCCTGCTGTCTGCTCAGGGGAGCTGGCCTTCGGGAAGAGACAGAAGACCACAGCTACAGATCCAAAGGCCAACACTGACCAACAAAACTCCCAGGCCTCCCCTATAACCCCACCAGACCTTAGGCCAAGAAACACAGAGCCAGCGTGTTTGAGACAAGCTGACACAAACACTGGAGGACAGGTCTCCAGATCAAACCCCAGAAAGAACCCCTGGGCCACCAGGGGCCTCGACTCTGCTTCCAGGCCCTTCTCTGAAAGCTTCTTGCCAAGGGCCCTGCTTTCTGACAGGTGTGTGTGACTTTCAACAGGGTTTGGGTGATGTTCGCTGCTCTATTTCTTCCAGTTTGATTTACCCACTTGGGAAAGGAAGTGGCTGGGCCCCATTGCAATTGTGGGCCTCCAGTGCATTGAGAACCAAAGTTCCCTGGCTAGTGGGTGGGGAAGCATCTCAAAACCTTTCCATATTCGGTGCTTCCTTGGTGCCTCACACAGCGCCCCCGGGGACTCATGATCGCTGTCCTCATTGTCAAGATGCAGAGAAAAATTCGGAGGGATTAAGTGACAGACAAAGTGACATAGACGCAAAGTGGCAGTGCTGGGGTGGGGGTGAGGGGGCGGGGTGAACCACAGTGTCTCTGCTAACAGGAAAAGGGGGAAGAGCGTCTTCCCTCCATCAAAGGGGTCTTTCCTGGTGCCTCCATTCAACCGGCATTTATCGTGGGCCAGGACCTGCTGCGAGACGCTGCAAGATGCTGTGGGGTTTTTGGTTTTGTTTTTGTTTTTATAGCAGCAGGGCAGCTATTTGCTTACTGAGCATTTATGAAGTGCCAGGAGCTGGGCCACGCATGTATGTAAATCATCTTACGCGACCCCCGTCACCCTGGGGCTCGGCGTGGCTACCTAATTTGCCCAAATCGCTTTGCTAGGAGGAGGCAAGGCGGGGATCCAAAAACACATCTTTACCCAAAGGACGCCAGCAAGCATGGGAAAGAGATGGGACAGTGTTTGTGATGCAGGCGGGCCGCGTCTGAGGACCCCAGAGTGGGGGTCCCGCAGGACCTGCCAAGAGGGTCCTTGGCTTTGTGCAGGATGAAAAGCAAATGTGTGCCAGAGGACATAACGGCCTGAGTGACAGCGAATAGTGTGCGTGACAGTGTACTTCTGACAGAGTGTTGGGAGACTCGGAAAGGAGAATGAGTCTTGTCGTCAGCTGGGGCTAGGGGTTTCCATTGGAAAGGAGTCTAGGGGACGTGTTCCTTCGGGAATCCAGGGTAGGGTCAGAGCAAAGACGAGTGATGGTGAATGACAGGTGTTATCTTATAAATCACTGAAGGGATAGGGTATTGATGCCAGCATCGGCCGAGGTTTGTTGGAAGCTGATGCCCTGGAACATATTTGGGATCTGGCTCCTCTTAGGTGTCATCAGGTCTTTGGGGCCTAGGACAAAACTCAGAGAATGATTAACTTTTTTGCTTCCCCTGGAAGTGGGAACATAGCTTCTTTGGCTTATTTAGAGGCAAAGTAAAGAGTAGGAGTAAATGGGGCCCAGCAGAAAGAGTGGGGATGGAGCCTTTCTACTTTTTGTTCTATGTTTTTTTTCTTTTTAGATGTTTCCTGCGTGGTTTGTCCCCTCAGGCCTTGTCCACAGGGCTCTGAGAAGCCACAGGAATATGTAGGTGCAGACTCAAGACCCGGCTTCATCTCCAACACTGGGGAAAAGGATTGTACATCATGGGGCTTAACCCTGTGCTCCCCTACGCCATCTGGACAGCGCCCAGGTGATGTAGGAAAGACATTAGGGTTCGAAGCCAACGGCTGAGAAAGAATTCTTGAGATGTCTTTTGTGAAAAAAGGTGGTTTTATGAAAGCTTGGGGACAGGACCTGTGGGCAGAAGGAGCTGCACTGGGGTCATGATGAGTGGCCCATTATAGACTTTCAAGTTGGGAGGGGGTCAGGGATAGCGTAAGTCTCCCAGGTATTTTGGAAGCAAGGTTTCCAGGATCCTGAGGGGGCTAGCTATTGTTGGGAAAAGGTCATTTGTTACCGTCTAGTAAACCCTCAGTCATGAGACCCTTCAGATGTATATCGGTGGGTCCTATGCTTGGGGGATGATTGCCAACAGGTATCTTGGGGGGTAGAGATAAAGGAAGTTTCCAAAGGAATTTTTATGTGTTAGACTTAAAGGATCCTGGGAGTCAGGCTAAGATTGCCTTTTGCCCTTAGCAAAGTATTAACACCGAGGCAGCTGAGTTCCTAGAGGAACGTCACTCTGCCTGTTTCAAGGACTTGTCAGTGGGCTGTAGGTGGTAAGGAAATTTAATTTTTCTTCTGCCTTTGTTTCCCACATCACAGGGAAAGGGACCTCCCAGGGTACCCACAATGCAATGCCTTTAATTAAACAGCATCACCCTCAAAACATTCTCAAGAGATTTCATTTTTTCCCATCCCGTACTACACAAGTGAATTTGAGGAAAGCCTGTTTAAAAAACCAGTCATTACTATTGACTTCCTGGTGGTTCTCCTCAATGAGTTCCTCACTGTTCTGGCAGTATGCGGCTACATACGCCCATCTTCATCTCTGGTACCGTGGAAAGGCCTTGTGCCTGACACCAAGTCCTCGGCATCCATGGGCAGACTTTGAGGGGGTATGCACGTTTTATTTACACGGCTCCCATGCAAGCTTTGTTCATTGTGACTTTGGCTAAGTCATCCGAACTGTAACAATTTCTCCATTAATAGAGTAGGAGTTGCTACACTACCACATGAGAATTAAAGATGTGAAAAGAGAGACGAGGCTTGGGGTGTCTGGGTGGCTCAGTCGGTTAAACGTCTGCCTTTGGCTCAGGTCATGATCCCAGGATCCTGCGATCAAGTTCTGAGTCAGGCTCCTTGCTCGGCCGGGGGCCTGCTTCTCCCTCTGCTTCTGCCCCTCCCCCCAGCTTGTGTGCACGTGCTCTCTCTCTCTCAAATAAATAAAATCTTCAAAAAAAAAAAGAGAGAGAGAGAGACAAGCCTTTCTAAAACCAGCACCACTGACGGAATGGCTTCCTGGGCAGAGCCTGACTACTAGTGGTACCCTGAGGACAGGCGGAGGAGGGGGGTGGCTGGTCTTCCCAGTGCCTGTGATGGGAGGAAGTGGTGCCCACATATGTGTTCAGCTGGCACGTGCTGGTTCATTCCCTGAGTGCCTACCATGTGCCAGGCATGGGGCTGAGCACTGAGGATGCAAGGCCCTTCTGCGGCTCAGTCCAGTTGGGGGGGACAGATAATAAACAGCAAACAAGTAAACTGAGAGGCAATACCTGCAGATATTGATAAGTGCTACACAGAAAATAAGACAGGATGCCACAACCATCTTGGAAAACAGTTTGGCAATTTTTTTTTTTTTTAAGAGTTTATTTATTTGACAGAGAGACAGTGAGCACAGACAGGGGGAGTGGGAGAGGGAGAAGCAGCATCCCAGCTGAGCAGGGAACCTGATGCGGGGCTCGATCCCAGGACCCTGGGATCATGACCTGAGCCGAAGGCAGATGCTTAACCCACTGTGTCACTCAGGTGCCCCAGTTTGGCAATTTCTCAAAAAGGTAAATAGATACCTGCTATATGATTCAGTCATTCTGCTCCTAGACATCTACCCAAATAGATGTTCAGTGACTATCACCTGAATGAATGAATCTGTTTTGCATGTCTTTCTATATTGAAGGTACAGAGATAAAACTTGGCTGAGGCAGACATGATAAATTTATTTTTTATTTTTATTTTTTTTAAGATTTTATTCATTTATCTGACAGAGAATGACACAATGAGAGAAGGAACACAAGCAGGGAGAGTGGGAGAGGGAGAAGCAGGCTTCCCATGGAGCAGGGAGCCCACGCGGAGCTCGATCCCAGGACCCTGGGATCATGACCTGAGCCGAAGGCAGACGCTTAACTGACCGAGCCACCCAGGCGCCCTGGGACATGATAAATTTAAACTTGAATTCCAGAAGTGTGCTCACGAAAGCTATCACCCCAAAGCCTTATAGAATATGCTTTGTGGGGGCCCATTTGTCCTCGCATAGTCAGGACTGGGTCATGGCTCCTTTGAGAATAGTCACTTTCCTTTGTTCCTGTGAGCTACCCCCCAACCCCAGCCATCTGGGTCTTGTGCCTCCTCCCCCACGCCTCCCGCCCCAGCTGGTCAGGATGAATGCAGTGTCACTGTGTGAGCCGAGCTGCAGGGACATTCCACAGACCCAGCCTTGTGCTTCCTCCACAATCTGTCTTCCCCTTCTTTGCCTCACTCCATCCTTTGCATCCCAGCCTGGGCTACATTTTCCTGAGATGGAGGCGGTGGAGCTGAGGGGCCGAATGTCAAGGTCCCAGAGCCAGACCTCCTCGGTCCCCAGCCCAGTTTCATACCAACCAGTGACTTGGGCAATCCTTCCAACTTCCCTTAACCTCAATCATCTTACTGTAAACAAGGATGAGGATAGTACCTGCACCATGGGGTCACTGTGAGAATTTACTACTGAGAATTGACTACAGACCATTTTTCACATTGTCTGCCACAAATTAAGTACTTAATTAATGTCCGCCTTAATCTAGTACTTGTTTTGCATTTTCTCCTCCTAAGGTGATCGTGGTCTTATTACACAGTTATAGGCTTGGAAGAAACACCTCTAGGATCTGAGGTGGATGGGGACTGTTTCTTAGAAGAGAATTGATGGAGGCCGCTGGGTGGCTCAGTCAGTTGAGCATCTGCCTTTGGCTCAGGTCATGATCCCAGGGCCTTGGGATTGAGCCCTGTGAGGGGATTAAGCCCTGCCTCAGGCTCCCCGTTCAGGGGGCAGCCTGCTTCTCCCTCTCCCTTTGCCACTCCTCCTGCTCCTGGTCTTTTGTGCTCTCTCTCTCTGCCAAATATATAAATCTTTAAAAAAGAGAGAGAGAGAGGGGCGCCTGGGTGGCTCAGTCCGTTAAGCATCTGCCTTCGGCTCAAGTCATGATCCCAGGGTCCTGGGATCAAGCCCCGCATGGGGGTCCCTGCTCAGTGGAGAGCCTGCTTCTCCCTCTCCCTCTGCCCCTCCCCCGTACCCCCCATGCGAGCTCTCTCTCTCTCTCTCACTCTCCCTCTATCTCAAATGAGTAAGTAAATCTTTTTTAAAAAATAAAAAAGAGAATTGATAAATAATAATATAATGTTATAATATCCACCATTTATTGAGGCATTACTCTCTTCTAGGTATCACATAACCAATAATTAACAATAACCAGGGGTGCCTGGGTGGCTCAGTTGTTAAGCGTCTGCCTTCGGCTCAGGTCATGATCCCAGGGTCCTGGGATCGAGCCCTGCATCGGGCTCTCTGCTCTGCGGGAAGCCTGCTTCTCCCTCTCCCACTCCCCCTGCTTGTGTTCCCTCTCTCGCTGTGTCTCTCTCTGTCAAATAAATAAATAAAATCTTTAAAAAAAAAACAAACAATAACTAATACTTAATGACAACAGTAGCCAATCCTGATTTAGCACTTACTATCTGCCAGGCCCTGTTCTAAATGCTTTTTGTGTATTAACAAATCCTAACAACCCTTTGAGGAAGATAACTATTATTGTCCTCATCTCACATATGAAAAAACTAAAGCACAGAGAGGCAAAGCAACTTGCCCAAGTTCCACCAGTAAGTGGCAAAGCCAGGATTCAAACGCCTCTTCCCCTTTGTGCTAACTCCGCAAAAATCAAACTAGGTGTAGCCATTTCCCAGCTCAAGATCCCAGTGGCAGGCGTTGGGGTGCTCTGTCCCCTGGGCTGGAGGACTGTATCTCCAAAGAGGGCATCAAATTAGGCCAGTGGGCCCTGAAGCCCTACAAAGGTCCCCCTTTCTTTGTGTCTGGAGGGAGCACCTGTCTTGATCCGATTTCAGGCCCCTCCCACTCCCCACCGCCAATCTCTGGCAGATTCTCAACCTCCCACGTGGTTTCTCCCTCCTGGAGACCAGCAAGCACTCAGACCAACCCTAAGGGGACCCTTACCCCAAGTGACTCTAATAAAAGCTGATGTTCTCCAACTGAGAATTTTCTCTGGTTATGGGTGAAGAATGGGGTGGGGAGGGGTGGGGTGAGGGTAGTCAACAGCCTAAGAGAGATGCCAGGGAAGACAGCTCTTTCTTTCCTCAATTCTTCTCATTTACAATTGAGGGGCACACAGTGTTTAGATAAAATCTTTTTGTTCTCTGGTTTTCTTCCTTCTGCAGAGAGGTGTGTGCTATAGGTTTTCTGCTGGTTTTCCGGCTAGATTTTCCTAAAGTTTTTGGTATATAGACTCAAGTGGACTCCAACCAGTATATCGATAATAACCTCCTGTATTGGTAATAACAATAGCTCATGTGTATTGCTCACTTACTAAGAGGCAGGCACTTTACCTTGACAAAGACACTATCCTTGACCAAATTTTAGCTAGGTTCCTCTGAGCCCTCTTCTAGACGAGGCCTGGGCTTCTCTGTCAGCCTGTCCTTGCTGGGACTGCAAGAGCCAGTTTTACCAAGACTCCTCCTAAGTCAGTTGAGTGAGAATCGCCCCCACCCTTGATATCTGGTCACCCTCCATATCTGATCAAGTTCCCCATCCCCCATCTTTGGTGTCTAAGTCCTGGCCTGCCTTTAGCAAGAATCCTGCTGGGTCAGTTTAGCAAGAATCTCCCTACCCTTTATATCTCCTCTTGGTATTTTCCATCCGCTGACCCCTCCCTCTGCGCCTGTCCGGGCTGTCCTGGGAAGCGAGCTTCCTCACTCCCCCCCCCCCCGCATTGCAATACCCCTGCAACGGTCTTGAATAAAGTCTCCCTTACCGCTCCAGCAAGTGTCAGAATAATTTTTTCATCCTCAACATGAATGAGTTCATCTAACCTCACAAGGATCCTAAGAGGTAGGTACCATCAAAGTGTCCACTTAGAAGCGAGGAAGGAGGGAGGAGAGAGGTCTCCTAGGGGGTGAGACATCAGCTGTTGGCACCTGGACGTTCCCCCAAGTTCTTCGGCAGCAGGTGGTCCCATCAATCCATCTGTTGGGATACTAACCAGGCAAGATATTGCGTCCTTTGCGACACAAATCCCAATATTCTCCAACAGCCTGCCGGAACCGCGTGGGAGGCGGCGGGAGCTAGAAACCCGGAGGGAGCAAGCCGCCGGACGCCGTCTCCTAGCAACCGGGCCGGGGTCACGTGACCCGCCTCACGTGGCCGGGAGCCGCGCTGGAGACCGAGCGGCCGCCGCGAGCGGGGCGGGGCGGGGCGGGGCAAGTTCGTTTCCCGAGTTCCGAGCCCAGGAGCCCCAGCGGCTGCCGCGCAGGTGCCCTCCGCCTGGGTCGGGATGGAGCTGCCTACCGTGAACCTGAAGGTGGCGACGGGCAGGGTGGGGCGCGGGCGAGGCGGGTTCCCCCAGAGTGTGCGGGGCGTTTGCTTTTTTCAAGAAGGATTTCAGAAGTGAGAGGACCGAGAGCTCGGGGCAAGAGGGGGTGGTAGGGAGACAGCGAGAGCGTGGCCCCCAGGTGGGAAGGAGGTGAGCAGACCGGCCATAGCAGGGAGAGGAATCCAGGGAAAGGCCAGCAGGGAAGACCGAGGGGGTGCTGGAGGCGGTAGGGGAGGGAAAGGGCCGCCCGTTCCCCTTTGCAGCCTCGGCGCCTCCGGCCCGCGAGTCCCGGGAGCCTGAGGATCGCTTTGGCCTGCGCGCCCAGAATCCCCTGGAGAGAGGGAGGGAGGGAGCCGCGGGGTGAGGGCGGGCCCTGAGAGGCCAAGGGGTCTCGGCGGCGGTCACCTGCCGGTCGCCCAGAGAGGAGGCTAGACCTTTCATCTGCACGCCCAGCAACGCCCCGCTGCTTCGTTGGCTTCATCAGGTTAAGAAAACCCGAAACTCCCAGACCAGTGGTTTCCAAAGCTTATAAATCCAGCGTCCTTATTTCATAGGAAACAGGAACTCCAATAGAAGTTACTTAGAAACAGAAAACCCCAACTTTGTGCCCTTAGGAAAGCACTGCGCGGCTTCCTGGGGTGTCTTCATTTCCTGTGGCATGTTCTCAGCTCCTCCAGATGCCAGTGGCTTCTTCATTTTGTCCCCGGCCCTGCAGGCGGGCTCCGCTTCTGGACTGCGCTGACGGCAGAGGGGCTGGGTGGGGCCTTTAGCTTTGGGCTGGAAGGTGTGAACGTTGGCCCAAACCTGCCATTTGGGGTCTCGGTGCTGTCCCCCTAGAGACTATATCCAGGAACGCCCTTTTACTCACCAGTGACAAAGCATTTAGCACACGTGGTGTCCAGCACTGAAGGAATCTAAGAGACAGAGGACCACAAAACAACACAATCCATATTTGGATTATTAGACGGGGTCTGTGTTATGACTTAACGGAGGCAGATTTCCCTTAATCTCATCTCCCTCCCAGACGCTTCCAGCCAGTTTGGTTTACAGGAGGCCAACCGAGGTTTGTTGGTATCAACATTCACTGTGTTCCAGGCAGTGTGGAGTCAGTGCCCACTGCCTTTTCTCTGATGAGAGATTTGCCTAAAATCATGGCTAAGAGAGCATCAGGCGAGGGACAGAGCTGCAGGAATGGAGAGGGCAGGGGGCCCTCATTCCTGGAGCATCTGTGGTATGCCACGTGGTTCATTTGATCACAGCCACTTCTGAGAAAGCTGATATTGTCGCCTTTCTTACAGATGAGCAAACTTCGGGGCAGATAAGTAACTTGCCAAAGTCCCACAGGGATTAAGTGGCAGAGTTAGGCTTTGAACCCACTGGGGTCAGACTTCAAAGCCATATCCTTTCCTGGCCACCAGTTAGGGCTGACTTTGGCCTTGACGGTGTCCATCCACTAGGAGGGCTTCGTCTGTTTGGGGCTTTTTTTTTTTTTTTTGAGCAACTTTATGGGCCTGACAGGCCCAGTGTGCCCACAGGTATGAGCTGTGCTGGTGTTCTCTGCCCCAGAGTGAAACGGTGCGGGGGGGGGGGGGGGGGGGGGGGGGGGGTTGGTGGGTAGGGGAGGGCCTTCCCTTGGCTTAGGAAACAGGACCCCGGGTTTCCAAAAGTCTTAGCTGCTACCAGTCAGAGACCAGTAAGTGCTGGGAGGCCCTGAGGGGCCAAGGTTGCCAGGGAATATACATCCCATTGAATTTGAATATCAGATCAACAGTGAATAATTTTCTAGCATAAGTATATCCTAGGCAATATTTGGATCACACTAACAAAGGGCTTATTAACCAAAATTCAAAACTAACTGGGCATTCTGTATTTTTGTTGTTGTTGTTAAATCTGGCCACTGTAGGGAGGGCGGCTGTCGACTCCTTGCTTGTAGGCACTTAAGTGGGATGTTCTGAGCCAGCCCCTCAGGAGCTGGGAGAATGCATGCCTGTGGACCTGCATTCCCTCGTTTCATCTATTCCGTGGCATTTGGCTGAATCCTGCTCGTGCCCAGCCCTGCCGGAGTGGTCAGTGGTGCCAGGTGAAAGAAACAGCTGCCCCAGGCCCTTCACACAAAGGGCCGTCCCTAATTGAGTCCCATCTATGAGGCAAGTCCTGAGCTGGAGAAATGACACTGAGACAGGCCTGGCCCTGCCCACCCCCCAGCTTCCTGTCTGTCTTCCACTGTCTTCTGTCCAGCCACATTGGCTTCTTTTCAGTTTCCAGAATGTTCCATGCTTCCTTCTGCCACAGGGCCTTTGCAGGTGCTGCCCCTTCTGCTTGAAATGCTCTTCTTTGATCTCTGCCCCTAGTGAACCCCCTGCTCACCATTTTTACCCTGGCTTAAATGTCACTCCCTCAGAGAAGCCTCCTAACCACCCCACCCCGTTGTAGAATGAGGCTCCTTTTCCTTTACTATAACTGTCCCTCAGAAAGAAGGTCTCACTGGATCCCTCATTCCTAAGACGATGATCTGATCAGCAGGTGTCTCCCATGACATAAAAGTTCTGCCACAGCTGCCCTGCTCACCATTGAGCTCACCGTTGAGCCCCCAGGGTGGGTGCCAAGCAGATGCCAGGGATGCCGAGTGAAGTGTTTGAGAAACTTAGCACCATTTGATCATGTGTTTCAAGCCTCTGGGAAAAGAAACCTCATGGAGTCTTGTGAGAAAAGGCTGTGGGAGGAGGGTCCAGGGAGTAGTGTAGCATTAGGGTTAAGGACTCAGGAAGCCGACTTCCTAGTGGTAGCAATGAGAATGGCCACGCACTGAAGGCTGATCACCTGGTGGGCACTGTGTTGTGTGTTTCACACGCCTCTCCACCTCCCTGGACCACTAGATCCACAGAACAACCCCATGACATAGGCGTGATGGTCCCAGCAGTTCCGAGGGGTCAGGTGACTTGCCCAAGATCACACAGCTTCCAAGTCATGGAGCCCCGGCTCCATAGGATCAGATCTGCATATTTGGCTTCATTGCCCACACAGTTAACCACTGGCTGACTCTGCCTCCCCAGTATGGCATTCCTGACTTAGGTCTCTTAGCCTCAGCTACCCTTGGGGACCTTACTGCCTCATGTAACAGGCTGCTGAGTGTTTACACAGGACTAATAGAACTATATTTCCCGTATTGATCTGTCTGTTGGCCTTAGGTCTGTCTACCTCCTGTCCTAGAAGTCTCTCGCCCCCCCACCCCATTCGCCCCTGGGCCCTCTAGTGGCACATAAAGGGTCTAAATCCTGGTCCCCATTACCCCTTGGCTTCCCCTTAGCCTTCCCTTCTGGTTAAACCTCCTCATTTCCATCCACCCTTCCCTTGCTCTTCCAGATCCTGACAGCATAGCACAGACTTTGCCACTTACTAGCCCTGTGACCTTAAGCAGGTCTCTTAACTCTCTGACTATCCATTTCCTCACTGTAAAAAGAAGATAAAAATAAACCCTACCTTCTAGGGTGGTAAGAGGAGGATCCCGTGGTCCAGGAGTTGGTGGGGCATTACATTTTTAGTAGCAGAAAAAGACCAGATAGAGCTATCAGACATTTGCATCTGAGCTCTCTTGTTTGTAAGTATCACACTGTGGGCCGATTACTTAATCTCCCGCTGCCTCAGTGTCTTCATAAGTAAAAGAGCATGAATAGTCCCCCACACACAGTGGCCAAGTGTTCGAGGCAGTGCAGACACATGGCAGGCAGGTCCTTGTCAGGAGGTGTGTTGTTAGCTTGTTAGTGCTGTTACAGGATGCCTGTTCCACGTGGGTACTTATGGTTGTTACGTGGATTCGTACAGTGACTGTCAGACACCTCTCTGTGGTTGAGGCACCCCACTGGGACATATGGGGGCGGGGGATAAGGATTGCGTCCAGTTCGCAGAGAGTGAACCTTGGGCACAGACGCAAAGGGACATGGCCCCTGGACCAGAACCCAGGCCTCCAGTCCAGCATCCTGTGACCCCCGGCTGCCTTGGCTCATCCTCCCTCCCCTGCCCCGTCTTCTGGGGAAAAGCCAGGCAGCGTCCCGGGCGCCAAGCACTGTATGAAGAGTGCAGGAGCTCCGATCTCTCTTTGCTCTTGCCCAGCCAGGATGGGCTGCCCAGGCGCATTCTCTCAGAACGCAGTGCCTTCCTCCCCTAGTCTCTCAGGCAGTACCTGAGAATACCTAGTGTCCCCTTGGTTATCAGAAACCCTCCCAGCAGCCGGCAGACAGTTCTTTGTGCTGAGATGAGTCACTGTTCCCTCCTGTGTCAGGAAGAGCCAGGCCCATTTGGCTCGGTTTCTGGTTGGAGCTCTTCTGGACACCAGGCCTCTGTAGGCCTGGGTGGGTGTGCCCTCCCATTACGAAGATGGGGAAACTAATAAAGAGGAGGATTCGTCTTCTGGGGGTTTCTATTCCCAGGGGCTTAAGAGACATGATCAAAAGTGCTAAGTTTCTTAACTATTTATAAAACAAAAGTGACGGCACATGGAGGGGACACAGTATGTCTTTAGGGGTCCTCAGTGTTTCCAGGTTGCACTCTTCCCAAAACAGATGGCTTAGTTTTGGACTTCGGGCAGGTGCTCACTGCGTATTACAGGTCTTTCCGGCGCTTGGCAAAATATTTGTCTCACGGGTGACACAGCCATTTCCCCACAGGCTTGCCTGCATCTCAGTTGGCTTCCGGGTCTCAGCTTTTCATCTCCCCTTCATCAAGCAGGGCTCTGCAGGGCCAAGAAGTACCCACGTGTTAAAGACCCACTGTGTGCATGGTCTGGATGTGGGAACCAGAGCAGTTGGAAATGAAGACGGTTTCTGGAATAGAAGCCAACAGTGGGGAAGGCTCAGGTGTTGATTTTCAGGAGGAAGGTGGTCATGTGACCTGCCTCCCCTGTGCTCCCTTCCTCGGTGTTTGCTCTCAGTCTGAAAGCCGGACACCAGGACCACTGCGGCTGGTCACATGCTGGGGCCTTTGAGGCAGGGCTTCTCCCCTCTGTGGGCAGGCAGGGTTTCCTGTCAAGACAGAGGGGGTATTGGTTGGCTCTTGAGATAAAGATCAGAATTCTTCCCCACAATCCCCAGGCCTGGCCCTGCCCACCCCCCAGCTTCCTGTCTGTCTTCCACTGTCTTCTGTCCAGCCACATTGGCTTCTTTTCAGTTTCCAGAATGTTCCATGCTTCCTTCTGCCACAGGGCCTTTGCAGGTACTGCCCCTTCTGCTTGAAATGCTCTTCTTTGATCTCTTCCCCTAGTGAACCCCCTGCTCACCGTTTTTACCCTGGCTTAAATGTCACTCCCTCAGAGAAGCCTCCTAACCACCCCACTCTCCCCCACCCTACCCCATTGTAGAATGAGGCTCCTTTTCCTTTACTATAACTGTCCCTCAGAAAGAAGGTCTCACTGGATCCCTCATTCCTAAGATGATGATCTGATCAGCAGGTGAGACATAAAAGTTCTGCCACAGCTGCCCTGCTCACCGTTGAGCCCCCAGGGTGGGTGCCAAGCAGATGCCAGGGATGCCGGGTGAAGTGTTTGAAAATTTAGCACCATCTGATCATGTCTCTCGAGCCTCTGGGAAAAGAAACCCATGGCAGACTAAGCCTCCTCTCCCTCGGTCTCCCCACCTTTGTAACGGGAGAAGCACAGCCACCCAGCCCCAGAGAGGCCTAGTGCTCAGGCGACACCGGGCTCACGGTCAGGTTTGAGCCGTGGCTCTGCCACTGGGCAGCAGTCACTCACCTCGGAGCCTCAGATTCCTCAACTGTAAACGGCACCTCTGGGGGTTGGAAGGATTAAAGGCGTCCACGTACAGAACACACAGTGGTGCCCACACTGAGGCAGCGCTCCAGGGCAGAGGTAGCCAATCACGAAGCTCCCTTCCAGAGCAGAGGTAGCCAATCACAAAGCTCCCAGAGCAGAGGTAGCCAATCACAAAGCTCCCTTCCAGAGCAGAGGTAGCCAATC